TATGCCTGCTCCTCTGAGCGACTCCTTTTCCCTATATCTCCATACTCGTTTTCCCCCCAAGCGGTCGCACGTGCTGGTTGCCCTCAACGCAGCCTCGTTAGATCACCCACGTTTGCATGCTAAGTGTTTTTATAAGTGTTTGTCCTGCTCTGATACCATCTATCATGGGCTTAGTTGGTTTTGCTTAAGTCATGCGGCACCCTTGCGTGTCCGTCTGCAAAGGTCAGCCTCCATGAAACCTCTTATGGTCCCTTGAGACATACAAAAGAGAAAACGAGTTAGAGAAAGCGCCTCACTCGGGATCCACAAGTAATCATTTCGGTAAACACTTTATAGCCAATGCAAATTACAAACAGACTTTACAAGCTCTGAACAGTCGTACAACAAAGTGTCCAAAATAGTTCACTACAGATCGATATCTTTCACAAGTGTCCACATGACACAACATTTATTTACAAGCCTAAAACGACCACTAAATCCAACTAAAATGGGGCTGTTAAGTCTTTGACCGTCCCTCTACATGCCGTGCAAAGCATGAACAAATCAAAAGACATGGACATACATAAGCATTACATCGAACACCTTGTTTACAATTTTGTCCGTGACAGGACGACCAAAAGTATTTAAGGAAGAATAGTTAGCTAGTTTACCAGTCCACATCTCCATAGGTGTCTTCAATTCAATCATTGTTGAAGGAGACCTATTGATATCATAACAGATAGTTCTTATTGTTTTAGCCTAAAATGACTTGGCCACACCTACGGTATCTTGTAATGCTCTGGTTCTCTCTAAAGGAGTCTTGTTTATCTGCTCTACCACACCATTCTGTTGAGGATTGTATAACATTGTAAGCTGCCTCTCAATGCCTTCGTGCCTGCAAAAAGGATCAAACTCCTTGCTCGTATATTCTCCTCTATTATTTATTTACAAGCACTTGATCCTTTTCCCTGATTGAAGTTTTACCCTTGCTTTAAATGACGATTTGATTCCAAGAATAAGGCTTCTATCAGAGAGAATCTTTAGGCCTTCTTCTGACATATCTCTTAGTCTTCAATGCCACAACATTGTAGATTCTTCTCTAGAGTCAGATGATGCAACAGATTCATTTGTCTCTTGTAGTGTTTCTCTCAAAAGTATGTATTGATTAAGGTCTGCAATTTCGTACCGTACCGGAGTTTCGACGTTCGCTCGGTACGGTATGAAACTATATACCGCTCGGTATATATATATATATATATATATATATATATATATATATATATATATATATATATAATTTTTTTTTTTTTCGCCCAGTAGCTGGCTATCCGCGTATCGGTATATCGTCGGATCGGTACGTACCGCCCGTATCAAGCGGTATCATTCGGTATTGCCTACCTTGGTATTGATTAGTAGGGATCGTCTCTGCCTTTATAACAATGAATGCTCCTCTGACAATCTTCATAGTCCCATTTTCAATAATGAGTCCTACAACCAAGCTCATCCAATTGTCCAACTGATAGTAGATTTTTCTTGAGACCTTTGACATGTCATACCCCTTGAATAGTGCAAACCTTGCCATCTTACATCTTTATCTTGATGGTACCAATGTTGGTAATCTCTAAGGTATAATTATTATCCAGAGAAACAGATCCTCCTGAGACAAGTTGATATTAATGGAACCATTCTTTTTTGGAGGTCATGTGCCAAGATGCTGTTGAATCTACTAGTCAAACATCCTCAAGCGCTTTTCTTCTTTCGGAAAAGGTTGTTGCCTTGCCATAGAACACTTTGCCTTCACTTGAGGTACTAACCGTGCAACTCCGAGAATCTTTTGGTTTAGTTCCTTTCTTTTTGTCTATTTTCTTGTTCTTCACACACTCCTTGATGTGTCCCATCTTGCCATAGTTATAGCACTTGATATTCTTTCTTCTTCTAGACTTTAATCTACTCTGTCGATTTCCTCACTGGGGCCATGCTCCATTGATCTACCTCTTGTTATAAATAACGCCTCAGCTTGCTGCAACATCACCAATCTGTCTTTCTTGTTTTTGCGTCTATTTTCCTCTTCTAGAACTATGCTGCAACAACACCAAAGACTAAAGTGGTTGTGTTGATGATGAGTTGATCATATTAATCAGGTAAACTCTAAAGAAGAAGCTTGACACATTCCGTCTCTTCAATATTATGCTCCATGGTAGAAAGTTGAGAGAACAATGTATTAAGAGTGCTGATATGTTCCGTTACCGATGTGGATTCCAACATTCGAAGAGTGTAGAGTCTTCCCTTTAAAAAAGCCTTGTTGTGAAGTGACTTGGCTTCATATAACCTTGTCAGAGTATCTAAGATCTCCTTTGCTATTGTATTCTCTATGATACTAGATATAACTCCATCTGCTAATGCCAGGTGCAAGTTGGCGATTGCGTTGTCATCCATCTCCCCTCCCATTTTTTATCGTTCGTGAAATCTTTGGGTCTGTCTCCAGTTGCCATTAGGCAATTATCCTTACCTAGAATTGACCTCATCTTCATCTTCCATAGGGAAAAATTACTTATGTTGAACTTATCTATCTCGAACTTTGTCGCCATTGTTTGACTTGATCTGCTTTCCTCCTTGAACTGACCCCCTCACTTTTCCCTGAATAGTAACTCTGCAACCTTTGGGTCTTTTTGAACTGTTGGCTTTGCTACCACTATTAGAATAAAATAGGAACAATGAACCAAAGCCATATGTGGGCAAGCAGTATCGAGCTAAAACAATAAAGTCGAAGATAAAAACCAACTAGAATAATAACACAAAGATGTAACATGGTAAAACCCTCAACCAGTTGAGGGAAACATCCACAAGCAAACTAAAATGTATTCACTATAAAAATGAGATTACAACCTTCTCTCTAATACAAAGAGAAACATGATACCTCTCTTGTACTAGGAGAAACTGAGAAAGAGAAACTCACAAAAGGGAGAAACCAAGAAAAAACCAAATGAAGTAGAAGATTTCCTCTCCTCATTGTGCTCTTTCTTCCTCTTTCTTTCTTCCCTTTCTTTCCCTATTCCTCAGTGCACTCTGCACTGGATTGGACTTAATTGGGATGCTGCATCTCGATGCCTTATATAGGCATGAGAAGGGAGAACACCTGCACTCATATGTCGGGAGGAGATGAGATGGGAGGTTGCAACTCCCCACATATTGCATCCACGCATGGGAGGTTGCAACTCCCTCATCCCAATCACATGGACGTGGTTGCAACTGCCTAATCATCTCTTTTTCTTTTTGTTTTATCTCGTCACATAGAGGTGGTACCATTCGATTAAGATTGAGGTTGTTAGTATTTGAGTGTCAGTTACTTTGATCAAGACTATAGAGGTGATATTATTTGATTAAATTTGAAGACACTGAAACTAAGACATGTCTTTGGCTTTATTTGTAATCATCTGCAGCTAATTATGAATTATAATGCAAGGTTTGACCTGTAAAATAATGCCTTTTCATTTATGTAGTGAACATGTCTAGAAATTTTTTTGGCACATTTTGTGCCTAATCAACTATTGAGGATCGTTTTGATGAGGTCGGGCATGTTTCTAACCGTCTTATATTCGTTGTACAGACAGAAAAGGCATTCTTGAAGCAGCCAAAGGTGTTTCTATGGTATAAATAAGGACAAGAGCTTAATATCAGTTGTTCTGATTTCTGAAAGAAATCAATGTTGAGAATTTAATATTTTATTTTAACAAATGTTGGTAATTTGCAGCTCAAAAAAATCTGGAAAGGGAAAGAGGCCTGGAAAAGGTGGTAATAGATTTTGGAAGAGTATTGGTCTTGGCTTCAAGACCCCCAGAGAGGCTATTGAAGGTCTTGACTCTGACATGTTTTTCCTCAGCTTACTTGAATATAAGCTTAAGTATTGTGATTAATGTGTTCTTTTTATCCTTTGGTTTCATTCTAGTTGACCATGCTGTTTTTGTGGCCAATTGCTACATTTTGTCTTCTTCTTTCTGGATTGTGTTCATCATCTTGATGTGGTTACATGCTATCTTGCATTGTTTTATTGTGTTAGGAGTCCAATTAAAAAAATTACAACGCATACAATAGTTTGAGTCATATATAGAGTTAAAGGAGATTCTGTCATCATTGGTAAGGTTTCATGACTTATATTTGGCCATCATCATGAACGACTGGTTTCATTCTACTTGGTGCCTCTGTGCTAGGATAAGCTTTCCATCAAAAAGTGGAAGTTTTTTTTTAATTTCCAATGATTCTTGCCTATCATTCTATGTCTGCAAATGCTAAAGACAGCTATTCTGAAAAAAAAAAATTGTCTTCGGGGAGATGAAACAAAGGTGCATTATAGTGCATTGTGATGTTTAAGTGGGAAGTTATGATCTAACCAACAGAGAATGCCAATCATGAGAATGACTAGCTAGTACATAGTGACTAACTAGTTGAGATACCCTATGTGAAGCAGCTGCAGTGCTCATGTTCTAGTGTTTGTTATTGTTGTTATGACAATGGATACAGAGAACAATTTCTTACATTTGTTTACAAGAGACTGATGTTCATGCCCTTAGCATATTTGGTGGATTTTAAAGTTGCATTTCTTTGAGCTCCTGTGGAACCTTAGTAATGAATCAACCAAGCAACCTAGGTTGTTAAAATTTCAGCTTGATCATGCATATTCATCTTTCTTGATGATGGCAATCTTGGACCTCTGTCCTTCGATTTGAAACTGCGCCTTCATTCATATGCTTGGGCATTCAACATATTTCATTTTGGTGTTTTGTGGCATTTTGTCTTTGACTTCTTGGTTTTGCGAGGTTCTTTAACATATTTCATATGCAAGGTTCCTTTTTTTTTTCTTTTTTTTTGACTTATCACACAGTAAGTTAATCTGGATGTTTTTGGTATATCCTTTGGGTATTTGTAATTGTTAAGGATTGTTTTTATTTTAACAAGAAAGTGCCATCTTATAACATTTAGCAAGAGCCATCAGTTTGTGCAGCGCCTGCTGTATTGACTTAAATGACTGGCTAGTTGTAAATTTGTTTATTTTCTTTGTTTACAAAGTCATAGCTTTAACCAGCTTTAATGGATATGACCCACGTTTCTCACTCTCTGAAACATGACTGTGTTGTTTGCAGGGACCTACATTGATAAGAAATGCCCATTCACTGGGAATGTTTCAATTCGAGGTCGCATCTTAGCAGGCACATGCCACAGTGCCAAAATGAACAGAACCATCATCGTACGCCGTAACTACCTTCACTATGTGAAGAAATATCAAAGGCAAGCAAGAAACTGCCCTGTTGTCATTTCTAATTGCTACTTATAGGGATTAAAGATGTTATTTTCTTGCCTTAGATACGAGAAGAGGCACTCCAATATTGCTGCACATATATCTCCTTGTTTCCGTGTGAAGGAAGGTGACCATGTTATTATTGGTCAGTGCAGGTGAGCGTTATTTCTTCATATGCTGGTAACAAAAGATATGTTTAACCTATTTCTCTTTATGTTGGTTCTGTTTTGATTGGTTAATTTAGAGAACAAAGGTTTTTGCTTACTTGTTCTTGGAGATTTGAGAGATCTTGGAATTTTTTAACCACATCGATTTCTTAGTGTTATTGGATGTTGTCCAGGCCGCTGGCGAAGACTGTTAGCTTTAATGTACTAAAAGTCATCCCAGCTGGATCAACAAGCGGTGGTGGGAAGAAGGCCTTTGCAGCAGTTTGAATTTTGCTAGAAATGCCTGAAAGATTTGCATTTTGTGGTGGACTATGTTCAGATTTCTGATAGTTTGGTTATGGTTAGTTCATTTTATTTTGCAAAGTGTGGTAAACACCAGAAAATTATTTCGGATTTTGTTGAAATGATAGAGAATGGAGTAAAACTTGTACTCAATGCCCATGGAATTGATTGAGATAAGACTGTTGTTCCTTGTTTTATGGGTTGGACATGTTTGGTTCGCAACACATATTTCACGGCCATGCTGGTTTTGCCAGGATGGTAGTAGTCAGACTGTAATGGCACAAAACTCTGCGAACAGTAAAGACGGCCAATTTTTTATCATCATAGGTTCCTACAGTCCTCTACAAGAAACGATGGAAGATCACGAGGGATATCTCAGGGTCTCTCTGCCATCAGTTTTGTTTTTGTTGTTTCGAGGAATAGGAGATGGTTTAAAAAAACATTTTGTTTTTGCTTCTACCAAATTTTGAATTGGAATGTTGTCGGTGTCAGCTGGTTTAATCGGTGAAGATTTTGATTTTGATAGTAAGTCCTTTGAAATCTCACTAAATTAAGAGTCGGCTAGTAGTTTGGTTAAAGTTTTTGATTTTGATAGAAAGGTCCTGTGGTCAAATCTGTCCTTTGCAAAACAAAAAAAAAGTCTGAAAATGATTCAAAAAAAAAAAAGAGTAGCAACGCAATTGATGTTGCATTTCTCTGATTTCTGACTTGAAGAACAGATACACATGACAAATTTGAGCTAGTGTTTCACTATCTTATTTAATCAACAATCTGTCATATTTTATGAACACCAAAATTGAGCATGAACTATCCTGCACACCCAAGAATGACCTGGGAAAATAATATGCCTTTAATTTCTACAATTACAGACGATTAGTCACTTCCTATAGATATGCCGGTTGAAATCTATGTCACTCTAAACTAGTTGGTGATGCTACTTTCTCTTTTAGTAGGTCACTGAGGGTATGAAAACCCTTTGTCGATATAGTACGTCTACGTCGTTGCACGGTACGAGCAGGAGGGGGATCCATGTGAAAGCACACCATAACTATTGTGAGATTGTCCATAGCACCGCGCTTCATCGCCTCCTGGACCAGTTCTTTGCAACAGGTCGTCGCATCATTGTGCTCTTGCAGCTGTCGCCTTGCAAAATCTACAGCATTTTGGTTTGAGAAGACGTCCCATATGCCATCACTGCCTATCAGTAAGAATTCGTCCTCCTTTGTCAACATGATCTTTTTCAGCTCTGGTTCAGCAATGAGTAACCCGTTCGGCTGGTCAATATCTTTCAAGCCTTCGAAACCCCAATCACCGAGGGCTCGAGTGACGGCAAGCTCCCCATTTAAGTAGGCATCGTCTACTATGAAGCCACCGAGAGATTCGATGCGCTTTCGCTCGTTTGCACAAGAAGGCTTGTGGTCCTTCGACATTTCTATAGCCACGCCTCGTTGGGAAAGCACTGCTCGGCAATCTCCAGCGTTTGCAACCAGAAGAGATCTACAAAGACATTCTCAATAGTACTAATTGTAAGTGCCACAAGATAAGTGTAATATTACGCTCCATTTCACTCTCTCGAAAGAAAACCAACAAAAAGGAGTATCTCATGAAATTATGTTATGAAACCTAAAAATATGTTGTCGTAAAAGAAACATGTTTCTTTTTTTTCAAGTATAAAGAATTTGTTGTAAAGATGCTAACACCCACACATCGGCTTGATGAGACTAAACTCTTAGTTTGTCATTAGTACTAGTTTATGAAGAAAAGAATCAATCACTAGAAGAGTTATGCACTTTAGAAAGAAGAAGCCCGCCTACCTTCCAAGTATCATTGCTGATAGAGCGGTTGTGCCGGAAGTTGGGGTAAGTGGAGGAGAGCATGTCTTCGCAAACTGTAAGTCGGTTTCCAAATATGATCTAACAATAACCTTTTCAAGCTCAAGAGGAAAATCAGAATCTTCCACGATGACCATCGGTAGGTTGTCACGTACAAAATGTGCAGCATCTTTTCCTCCATGCCCATCGAATACCTAAAGAACAGAAATCATTGTAAGATATTTGACTCAATCTACAGTATGACAACAAAGTGTAGTGTCAATATTGAAATCAAGTGGCTGTTCTTCTTAGAAATGATTGTATCAATAATGACTACCTCTTTCATCAAGAGAGTAAAAAAGAGTATAAAATTTTCATGAGAACTTTGTGTTTAAAGAAGTATTCAAAATCTCAATGGATTTGTTTTACTAATTTACTAAACGACTCTTGCAGACATCGGCGGCCTAAATCATGCATAGCTTGGTCCAAAGGAAGCTACTGTATGTACATCAATGAAAGCAAAGCACACAACAATGTCCTCGGAAAATTTAAACTAGTGTAAAGTGCGTAACCTAGAAAAGCCATTGAACACATTATCAAACCTTTTGGCCATCCAAAGTTTGCCTCTTTAACAGTCAACAAGAAAACATGGACCAAATATGGCAGGTAGATGTCATTTGGCTGAGCAAGAAAATGGACATCTTGCCAACTCAAATGTGGAAAACAGATGCAGTTTATGATGCCTTTTGTGAAAGGTCAGTCACATTGAGAAGAACGGCCTTTGCTTCAATGATTTATTTTAGGATCAAATGATTAAGAAACCCAAATCAATCATGAGAAAGAAAGATAGGGGTTGGAAGTTGACACAGACATAATGAATAAACAACATTATGAGCCAATACACTTCTTATCCAAGCAAACAAACAGTTTGCATTCATATTACTTTTGACTCTACTTACATATATCAATATAAGAGTTAAATACATTCTACATGTAAGTCAAGATGCACAGCAAGAAGGTCACGAAGTAATGATCACCGAGCTTATTACAGGCACTGAAGTTTTTTTAAGGGGCTATCGCCTAACCATTATTTTCAAGATGTTTCATGATGAACTGCACAACAGAGTTCTAAGATATGTCTTGAGTTAAAATAAACCTAAGATCAAAGTCGCATATTGGATGTCTGGACTGATAGGAAAAAAAAGGGACTTTAAGTCCTGTGGTTTTGGTTTTTAGGCATTTTTGAAGCAACGAATCACACTGAAAGGTTCAAATTTCTAGATAATGTATTATGACATGCAGGTGGACAGTTATCAACCTTAATGAGGCATAGAACTTATAGATAAAAAAATAATAAGCATGAACGAATAACAACAGAGCTACTATTATCACTCACTCCATAGAAGGAAATAGCCTCTCCTTTGAGGTTACGACAGCCGAACTTTTTAGCTAGATCACTGATGCATATATGAGTATCTTCCATATACGATCGGGTGCCAATGTCAGACCATTCCCCCGAACGAATGATGGGGACAAAGTCCGTTATTGGATTCACATCATCTATCGCGACTGTATTCACACTTCTATTCATCTGTCAAAAGAAACATTGTTAGTAACATGTATGAACAAGAGGCAGGAAAGAAGATCTTCCAGATCTATAAAACACTTAATGACAAAATCAAAAGGTGTGGTCTTCACTTCAAGCTCTCACACTCTCTGATTAAGTTTAAGCATTGCAAAGATGCGATGACTTGAGATGAAAAAGAAAATCCATAATGAGTGATGCAAAGCTACCAACAAACACTTTTAAGTGTTCGAGTTTATGTTTCATCATGACATACATGTAAGTCGATATCATTACAGTAAAGACTCTATCCATGTAAGTCAAGATCACAAAGTAATGATCGCTGAACTTATAATATCATTACAGTAAAACTCTGGGTATCGAAAAAAGCAATGACACATAAATTCATCAACACAAATCACTACATGAAAAACATATTCTCTGATTTCAGAAGCCAACATCAGAAATCAACAACAACACGCAGTTCCGGATATATGCACAGGAACCATGACAATGCACGATCAGAAACAATCAGAAGAATCGATAGAGCTAGAAAAATGACCATCGTAGAATGAAGATGGCAAACATAATCCCAAGAGGCACAGAAACCTATCAGGACAGTAGCAATCATTTCATCAAGACACTAGCAAAAAATTTCTAAGTGAGACAGTAACAACGCTGAAGTTCATAAAGAATCTGAAACAATTTACACAACAAATATATCAATTTAGTTTCCATCTCTGTGATTTCGCAGCAGATTGATCTAGCCTTAGAAAGGACAGCAAAACCAAGAAGCTGCTGAAGCAATTCAAGAACATTAATGTGTGCATGTGAAGAATAATCAGACCTAGAAAAGACAGCTAAAACAAGAAGCTACAGCAATCGTGCAATTCAATAGAAAGTAGCATGGAAAACGAGACACAGAAAAATCCTCGACTCGATTAAATAAGAAACAAAAGAAAACCAAAGAAGAATATGAGATAGAGACCAACAAGGATCATCCAAAAAGGGGAATGCACTACGAGCGACAAGTAAATTAACAGATACATATATATAATATGAATATATGTCGAGAACTTATGGTCGAACAAGAAGAGCAGCATGAAGACGACATTCGAGAGAAAGGAAAAGAAAACATAATCACAGGGCACTAACAGGGCGATTGTCAAAACTGGAGCTTTTCCCCACCGTAGCATCGCAAGATAGCAACTTTTCCGTCTCCTCCGATACCTCCCCTATCTCGTCCTTCACGCACATGGCGGTTCTGCTCGAGGACCGACGAACCTGGGCGGTTCAACAGAGTCAATTTCCCAGGGGGAGAGAACAGCAGCATACGGCATAAACAAGAGAGAGAAGAGGGGAGGGGGAGAAGATTCTGAGAATATGTTGTAAGAGACGCAATGGGGTAATTGGGGGATGGGATCATTTGGTGGAGTGGGGGTTAAAAGGTAGGTCGAGGGAGCAGAGAGCGTCGAGGAAGGAAAGGAAACGAGAGGAGCAGGTGGAGATTTGTGTGCGTGTGTGGCAAAAGCGTGGCCGGAAATAGGAGATTTTTGCTTAGATTTCATTTTTGCGGCTTTGTCACCTCTTTAGATTTTTTTTTTCTAAAAATGTTCCATTTGGATTTCTCTTTCTTTTTCTTTTTATCACGTGTGTTTTTCTAACTCTATTTTTATATAAAAAATTATTGTAAATTAACATATCATTAAATATATATTTTACTTATATAAGTATTAGAAATCTTGATACATCTAAGCTCGGTGAAAGATAAATACGATCTGAAAGGATAAAACAATAAAAATTTAACCACAAATGATACTTTTTCACTATATAAAATAATTATATTTGTAGGACAAAAAACAAAAGATATCTATAAAATAATTTGGCTTTCAGCCATCTGATTCTCATATGTGTTTTGATGAAAAATTGGGCCAGTATTAATATTATCATGACAAATCACCTGTAGAAATATAATAAAATATAATGAAATATTGCATGTTTGCATGACTCACAAGCAATGGATCTAACATTTCTCATCAATCATGTTAATTATAGTTATGCAATTGTATATATTGAGACATAAAGAAGTAGACCTTCATGACCTACAAGGATTTAATTATAGGTATGCAATTGTATGTATCTCATCATCTATTTAATTGGCAAGTGTAGCCTTATAGAGGATACCTTGTTTCACACCTAATGCTGATTATTTTTATTTTTAAGATAATAATTAATTGCAATCATGGTATTCTTTTTGTTCCCTTTGACTTGACCAACAAAAAGGGTTTTTGATTTTTGAGCTACATGATTCTTATAATCTTCATCAAAACATAATCAACTTGAAGTATGATTTGATTAAGACTAATCCAATAATTTGTGATGATTCATTGAATACATACCAAGAGGATGTGATCATAGTATATGAACAGTTTTCAAATGTGTGAAAACATTCATCATCTCATTTCATTCACAAATTGCCTAACCCTTTCATGTGGATAACTTATTTGCATAAAACATTGGTGCATTTGTAGTCATCATTTTACCACAATAACTAATCCATGCAGATAGACAGAAATTTAAGCCTACTAAAAATTGTCTTTTCAAAATGTTTTTATAAGAAAATAAAATATCAAACACCTCAACACATAGTAGATTCATTATGTTAGAATTATGATATAAAAATTAGTATAAGATAACTAAAGAATTGGTTTTAAAAATAGAAGAAAAGTCTTAGAAAATATAACCTGTTCTTCCTCTCGTGCCCGATGAAATTTAGATAATAAATCTATAAAGTGCAATCGAGCTCTTTTACATGCACGAACAAAAAGAGATTCTACTGTTTCCAAGTGAGACGATAAGCATGAATTGCACAAACAAGACATGTTGTCTTCAGAGAGAATTATAGAAGCTAAAGAAAAGATCTTTTATGAGCTAAAACAAATAATAAGTCCCTCTTTATATAGAAAAAAAAAAGATATGTGACAGTGTGAAAATCAAACGATAATAAGTACAATGTAAACTTGGGTATAATAAAAAAATGGTAATGATATAAACAAAAAAATAAGGGGAAAAAATATTTGGAATAAAAGTTTTGAGGTTTCCTTTTCCAAAAAAAAAGAAAAAAAAAACTTAACACGTCCTACCTTTTTTGATATTGTTGTGCGATGGATTCTTGCACAATAAAATAGTACCTATTAAAACAATATTCCTCTTGTCATGCCAAACCCAACAAATTAAATGTAATCAAGCTTGCACAATAATTGATATATTAATAGGAAATAAAAACGATTATAGTGCTGAATAAAAATGTAGCCTTGATGTCACGCAATTGTTTGTGCTCGGGGCCCCATCCATTGATAAAAATATCTTTCTTTTTTTTTTGGTCGCTTTATTTCTAGTATTTTATTGTGACATTTCGAAAGGGGTCGGATGTCGATGGAAGAGGAAGGAGTGTTGGATGCCATAATTTAGCCTCACCGAGAAGCCAAGCATCACATCAACCTTCTCTTTTGGTGGTCCCCTAATAAAAACAAGGAGGGTGGCCATTCATGTGGTGAACGAGTCATGCAACTCGTGGCCTTCAAAGTTGATGCCGTCGTTGGTGGCTTGACGTCAACGCAAAGGGTGAAGTGACAACCAAAAAAAAGGTCGACGTAGGCATCGATGATAAATATTTACTATATATTTTGTTCAAATCATAAATTATCTTTGCCTCGTCTCCCTCGTCATATAGTATTATTCATGATACATTAATATAATTATCAATTTAAGATGAAAAATGAACCCAATATGGTGTGTTTTACGAGTTATCAAAAAGGAATGGGTTGAATCAATATATTTGTTTATTTTGAATGTTAAAATGTCTTCGATATTTATTATAAATTTAGAATATAATATTAATCTTATAACTACCATTTAATTATAGGATATTTCTATAGATGTCACTCAAATGTAGCATATCTAGTAGGCTATTTATCATGATTATATTGCATGTGTTATGTCTCTTGACCATGAATAATTATAGCATCATTCTCTCTCATTGTGTTTAAGAGTATGGACTTGTCCATCGTCAAGCACAACATCTATTTTAGAATTATAATTACACGTATCATAAAATGACTAAATGCCTTAGTTGCATTCTTATTCAAAGCAAACACATCCAACATAAAGAAAATGCTTTGGATCTAGTTGATCATGTTGGATGTACTATATTTGTTCAAATCATAAGTTATTTTTGTCTCATCTCCATCATGATGTCCTATTTCTAAAACATTATTCATGATATATTAATATAATTGTATGAGAAAATGGATCAAATCTGATATGTTTTAGGGGTTATCTGTTCGAAAAAGATAAAACAAAATTTTATTGAGGAAATTGGTGGAATTAGTACATTTGTTTATTTTGGATGTTAAAAATTATTTGATATTTATTTATAAATTTAGAATAAAGTATTAATCTCATAACTATAATTTAATGAGAGAATATTTCTTTAGATATCATGTTAATGTGACATATATCTTAGGCTATCTATATCTCTAGATGTTATAAAATGACTATTTTTATATATCTATTTTGAAATCTCGAGTATTATTACTTATTGTGTTTAAGAGTATGAACTTGTCTATCCTCAAGCACAACATCTATTTTGGGATCTCAACTATAATTACTCGTATCATAAAATGACTAAATGCCTTAGTTACATATTCTTATTCAAAGCAAACACATCGAACATAATGCATTATAATGCATTGTTTTGTTCAAATCATAAGTTATCTTTGTCTCATCTCCATCGGTTATCATATTTGAAAAAGATAAAATAAAAATTTATTGAGGAAATTGGTGGAATTAGTACATTTGTTTATTTTGGATGTTAAAAAGTCTTTGATATTTATTTATAAATTCAGAATAAAGTATAAATCTTATAACTATAATTTAATGAGAGAATATTTCTTTAGATGTCATGTTAATGTGACATATATATATCGTAGGCTATTTATCATCTCTACTAGTTAACATGATATATCTAGAGGATATTAATTAGATTACATGTGTTGAATCCCTTAACTAAAAATAATTATGATATCATTAGCTGCTTTAGAACTTATTCATCATAGAGTATAATATCTATTTTGAGATCTTGACTATTATTACTCATGTTATAAAATATGACTAAGTGATGCTTTAATTGCATTCTTATCGAAGGCAAAAGGAGTGCTTTGGATCTAGTTGACCACATCATATATTTTATATATTTTTTTTTCTTAAATGGATTTGTCGCTTGCAAAGGGATGCTTTGGTGATGAATTGGACTCTTTGAATGCTTTTTATATCCTAAGTGGGCACATTATATCTAAAAGATGACGTTTTGAAATTCATTATATGCTTCCGATGCTTTTATGTTATAGATGGACACATCACGTGAAAAAATATAGATATTTTAGGTTTGGTCGATCACGTTGAGTACTTGAAATATACTTTTTTTTTTGTTGTAGATAAATATGTCACACAAAAAAAATATTTTAGGTTTAGTTGAACGTATTAGATTGCTTATACTACTACTTAAGTGTTATCCATGACATATTAAGTCAATGGGTTTATCAACATATCTATCTTTATTTTCTTGATATGATCAATATTGATCATCAATTTGACATAAAATTTTTGATCTTATCTAGTATGTTTTACGAGTTATCATGTTTGAAAAAGGTAAATAAATTCTAATTAAGGAGGTTGGATCATGACACAAGGAAATTTATTTATTTATATCTATATTCGGTATCTTACAAAATATTGCACTGAGTGTGTTCAACAAAATACATTCGATAGTTGAATTAGTATATTTGTTTAGTTGAATTAGTATATTTGTTTATTATGGGCAACAAAAGTATGTAAGGTAGCTTAATATTCATTTAGCAAGCAAAAAATAAAAAATAAAAAAAGAACATGAGAAGACCACTTTATGTAGTATTAATCTTATAATTATGATTTAATTAAAGAATATTTCTTTAGAAGTCATGTTAATATGAGATACCTAATAAGCTTTTTGTGATCTTTATAAGCTAAAGTGACATTTAAAAGATATAAGCTTTTTGTCATCTCTATAAGCTAAAGTGACATGTTTAAAAGATATTAATCGGACGGTATGTTTTAAGTCTCGATCGACTGATTGAGAATAATAGTTATATCATTTGCCTTAGAAAGAAAAATATTATTCATTTTGGGATCTTGACCATTATGATAAACAAATACATCGAGCATAATGGGGATGGGTGGATCACATCAAATGCTTCATATATTCTTTTGTTCTGAATAGATATATCATTTGGTTTAGAGATATATTGAACTTTTTAAATGCTCTCATATCTTAGAAAAATACGATATTTTGGGATTCATCATACACTTTGATGCTCGGATAAACACATCACATGAAAAAGAAATTAAAAAAAACTTTAGGCTTAGTTGTTGATATAAGGTACATTATAAGAGAATATATTAACGCAAAAGGGATGATTGTATTGATTAATTCAAATACTTCTGTGTCATATTTAAATATGAAGTGTAAGAAAGGATGCATGGACGATGTAGACACACATAAGCCTTTTTATGCATTAGTGTTAATAGTTCTAGTAAATGCAAAAAGTTGATAATGTAATAAAGGACTTCATTTTCGAATCATTTACCTACATTATATTGTCTAAGCTTTCTACTTTTGGCATCATTGATTTAACGCTAGTGCTACTTGTATGATTAGTATAACGATGATCACATTGAAACGTTATATCTCTTTTATGAGAGCATATTACAATTCAATTTTGAATTCTTAAACAACGGACAGTATATATTTTGGCTTAAAAAGGGGCAGATACTTCTTATGATTGATGTGGAAGGCTCCTAATGATATATTACTTTTAATGGGAGGGATTATGAGTTCTTCTCTATCCTTAGCATATAAAGCTATTGCTTGTGTAAGTGAACTATCAATCTTCCAAATTATCTAAAGAAATTGATATGTTGCATAATCAAAGTGAAGTTCAATGAATTAAACCAAATACTAGATGGATCGTGTTATACATTAACGATGCTTATAATGCAAACACTTACAAGAGTGGGATTAGATTTGATTAAGAAACTCTAATGGTTTATATCTATTGGTGGGATGTAAATCATTGGAGGAGGGGAGCATCTATTTATGTAGGAATTAGACAAACTTACAACCATGGGCATCAATCAAGCATCTCATGATTGAACCAAACAATAAGACTTTCAAAATTTATTATTATTATTTTATTATTATTATTATTATTATTATTATTATTATTATTATTATTATTATTATTATTATTATTATTATTATTATGTGAAAAGTTTATGGAGATAGAATTTATTGATATATATATATATATATATATATATAGGAGAATAAATGACTAATTATGCAAAATAATCTAAGTTAGATCAATTGTGACATGTCAATTGGTCATATGATCTGTATGCACTTTTATACTCCAATGAGAATGGTCAAAAAATTCTTTTAGTACTTCTTAGTATAACTAAAATTATTCTTTTAGAGAAAAAATAAATTTTTTTGTAAAAATAGGTCTTGGATTTAAATTCACACGATGTTTTATTTAATGTTAAAAAAATTGGTTGATCCCATTTTTATCCACAATAATAAGAATTTTTAGTACTTGTTAGTGTAACTAAGAAGTACTCCAATGAGAATGGTCAAAAAGTACTTGTTAGTGTAACTAAGAAGTACTCCATTTTGATAGTTTGAAGTCTTATTTTATTCAAAATTGAACTCAAATACACTCATTCGTAAACCTATCCAAAAAAAATATAAAATTTGATAATTAATTATCCTAAATTTATCATAAACATAAAAACCTAGTAGAATATGATACTCAAGTAGAATAATAAAAGTTTGAGATCGATTGATTAAAGTTGATACTATTACATCCGAAAATGAACTAAGGTATACTCATTCACAAAGCATGGCAAAAAAAAACCAAATTTGATAATTAAAATTTATAAAAATATATAAATTAACACAATCATTGTTAGAATCATGTTGTAGTGGAATCATGAAAGTTTGAGATAGTTTGATTAAAGTTGACCCATTATACACAAGAATAAATTGATCCACATAACCTACCAAAAAACATACGAAATTGGATGATTGATGATCTTAAAATTATAAAAGAAAAAAAAATACTAAGATCATTAATAAAATTATGAAAGTTTGATATCATTGATGGAAGTTTACTCGTTACAGTTGAAAACGAACTAAAATATCCTTATTCACAAAAACTACAAGAAATATTAAATTTGATAATTAATTATCTCAAATTCATCATAAAAAATATATATATATATATATATATATATATATATAATTTTTGTTAAAATATGTTTTAGTAGGATTGTAACAATTTTAAGACATTTGGAGACATGTAAATTTGAGTGTACTTTGATTCAAATTGACTATATATTTTGGTGAACTTTACTTAAAATACCTCAAAGATACACATTCATGCTCATATATGATTATAACACTCATTTAGAGTTTTTTCTAGAATTTTAGGAATATTATTTATTTAATTTGACATACTTCAATATAATTCTTTAATCGAGTATATCTTAATTAAAAATCAAGTATATTTCGATGAAAATTATCTAAAATATTTTAAACTTGTCCATTGATGTCACGTACAATTATAACAATCACTTGTTTTTTATTTTTGAATATTTTTTGAAATATTATTTTTTAAAATTTTATGTGCCTTTGAAGCAGGAGAAAGAGGTAAACAGAAGGTGAAAAGATGAGAAGAGACGAAAGAGAATGAGGAGGGCAACGAGAGAGAGAGGAGGAAGAAGAGACAAAGGATAAGAAAATTGAGGAAAAAGAAGAGGAAGAAGAAGAAAAGAAAAGAGAGAAGGCAAAATGGGAGGAGGAAAAGAAGACAAATTATGAGAATTTGTAAGCTCAAAAGAAAATAGATGAGAAAAAAATAATGATAGAAGAGAGGGGACGAATGAAAGAGAGGTCGATGAGAGAGAAAAAAATGATAAACGAGAACGAGGAAAAAAATGAATAAAATATAAATATGAGACAGAGAGGGAAAGAGAAGAAGACAAATGAAGATGAGGTAAAAAAAAAAAACTATAGGTTAAGAATTTTTATCGAACCAATTCGGGTCAATTCAATTTCACAAAAAAAAATCATTAACCATGTTATCAACTAGAAAAACTATTATATATTCATAAAAAAATACCGATTGGTATATTTTTTTAACCAGTAAAATTTCCTATATATCTCTAATTATAACTAGCTTAGCCAGATCATCATTTTGGATCCATAAGATCATCGGGTCCGGATCTGAGAGCGGATCCATTACGGTAGCACCGTTGACTACTCAGCGGATCCAACGGCATCAGCGGCCTGATATATTCGCCGAGCCTTCGAGCCCCTCCTCCCATCAGCCTCCTTCGCCTTCCGCCACTTCGCCATGTCCACCTCCGCCCCCGCAGCGCAAGATGATGTTCTCCGGCCGGCTTCTCCTCCTCCTCCTCATCCTTCAGAGTCCTGCGGCGAGCTCGTGGAGCCACCGGTCTTGGACCTCACGCAGGCCGTCCCCTTCTCCTCCGGAAACCCTAGGATCGAGGAGACCCGAGGAATCATGTACCTCTACCCCGAAGACGCCACCTCTTCATCCATTCTTCCTGTACGTTTCGTCATGTCTTTGAAGTTTCAAGAATCTAGGGTTTCTTGTGTTTTTTGAAGTAGATTGTAGGAAGGATTTTTGGTTAGCTGAAACTGGAGTTTCGGCGTTTCATCCTGTCTTCCTTGTATTTTGGAAGTTTCAAGAGTCAAGGTTTATAGCTTTCTTTGATCTTCGCAAGGATGATCAACAAAAGGGTTTTATCTTGGAAGCTTCGAGAATCTAGGGTGTCTAGCTTTCTTGGATCTTTGCGAGGCTGATTGTAGAAAGGGTTTAGGGCTAAATGGATCCGGAATTTTAGTGTCTCAGAGGGTCGTCCTTGTATCTTGGAAGTTTCAAGAATATAGGACGTGGTGCTTTCTTAGGTCTCGACGAGGTTGATTGTAGGACGGGTATAGGATTAAGTGGAAACGGAGTTAGTGTATCATCTGGTTGTCCTTATATGTTGAAAGTCTCAAGAATCTCGGGTTTCTTATTCTCTTTGGTCTTGGCAAGGCTGCTTATAGAAAAGGTTTCTGGTTAACTGCAAGTGGAATGTTGGTGCCAGGTCCTTGGATATTTTCAGAGTCTAGGGTTTCTTGCTTTTCTTGATCTTGGCGAAGTTGGTTGTAAAAGGGTATATGGTTAAATCGAATGAGAACTTTGGTGTTTCATTGGATTCTCCTTTTATCTTGGATGTTCCAATGTAGAGTTTATTTGCTTTTTTTTGGTCATGATAAGTTGAATGTAGAAACGCCTTAGGATTAAACGGAACCAGATTTTCAGTGTTTTCATCAGGTCATCCTTGTGTCTTGGAAGTTTTAAAAATCTAGGGATTCTTGCATCCTTTGATATTGGCAAGGTTGATTGTAGAAAGGGTTTGTGTTAACTGGAATCAGATTTTTGTGTTTCATCAGGTGGGAAGGAAGCCTCTTGTTTGTGTCATTGCGGTGCCGAACCACATGACATATGCTGATTTCTGCCAGTTCTGTGGTGCCTTCATTCAGCGCATGTTTGATATGCGAATTGTTAGGTAAGTGATTAAGATGTGATCCATGTTTTTTTCTACCAAGAATTTCTTTTCTTTTCAGATGTTTATCAGGGCTTTTATGCGTTTGCTTGGTTTGGCAATTGGCTTACTATTCTCGTGTTCTTCCCTCTTAGAACTAATGGTGTGGAGGATCAGTATAGCGTGATTATAAGGTTTGATGATCAAACGTCTGCAGATGAATTCTATCAACACTTCAATGGGAGGAGTTTTTCGTCTCTCGAGGTTTGTAGTCGATATGTCTTTTGGTTTAGAAACATCAAGTAAATGGAAAGTAATGCCTTGACCTGTTTATCTATGGTTGGACCTTCTGCTTTCGGGGTACAGGGTGATATATGTTCTGTCCATTACACCGTCGATGTACAGTACACAGGATCCATAGAACATGCACAAAGTTCGTTGACAAGCTCAGCCGAACTGCCTACTTGCCCAGTTTGTCTTGGTAAGTATTTTGAAATAGGATTTAAAAAAGGAAAAAATCAAGCAGACATTAATTTCATCGACACAAACAGATATTGCTTCTAGGATTGAAACGGACATAGATGAAAGTGCTGACATGTTTAACAATATGTAGACCAATCAGACATATCTTACTCCTTGACCTTGTTATGCAATTATCTAGACCATTCATACAGGTTTTACACCTTTACCTTTTCCCATATTTACTGATGATCCTAGGATGTACTGGAGGACCTTGGTTGTTATGAATATTGTTTATAATGGAAAGGCACTGTGTGGAAAGAAACTTTTTCCAATTTGATGAGTGTTCACTGTAGTAATTGACATTTGGTTGAAGCTTTAACCTGTGCAGAAACCTACCATGAAATGTGACTATCATAAAATCGTGTTTATAAGAATCTCTGTTAAATGGTCCACTATCATTGGAATTCCATAAAAAAAAAGGTGCTTAGTGTCCTTTTCTCTTTTGGTTAAAGGATATTTTTGCTTGCATTGTGTTCTTTTGGTGAAGGCATGAAAAAAATATTGAGTTGCAGTTTTGACTTGCAACGATTTGCCCTTCTTGATCTAGTGATACTTTTTTATTGAGTGATCATTTTTTGTTAGGGAAATATATAACCGTTTGTCAGTACTGGTATATAGGTCCTTTTGATTGCATTAATTAATAGGTACCAAGATGTCAGTAAGCTGGGCTTAGGTTTTCTGGAGTTTTATACCTTATAATATGTTGTAACATGAATTATGTTCAACTAAATAGTTGGCATGACATCTTATATTCAAATAGGCAGATATATGGACATTGGACGCAAACCGTACAAATCTGTAATAGCTACTTAAGAAAAACATTTAGATTGCTGGAGTAAAGAAGTGAAAAATTCAAAGGGATTTTGGGGAGTATCATCATGTGAAAAATATTAAGAGATCACATTAATTTTCCTCATCATATTGGCCTCCTATGTCTCTTTCCCACTACTGATCACATTCTCTTGGCCCCTTGAATTCACTAGTTATGATTCCTTAGTTCTATGGATGTGATTCTCTAATAAACTGCCATCTTGGAACTAGCTTACAGCATGGAATATTCTTTCTGATGATGGAAAACTGCAATTATGATCCTTATTCTACTAAACAAAAATTCAAGCTAAATGCTTGCACAAGAGCTATATCCTTTTTTACTTTAATTTTTTTCCATGGTGAGATGACTCATTTTACTCATCGTTAGTGATATTTGGAATGATGCTGTCTTGAATGTTGTCTACTCATTAAATTTTGTAGAACTAAATTTCCCTAGAAAGAATCTTGGATTGTTTATATTCTCTGCTGCCTATGTTATGGATAGGATCTCATTACCAAATTACCATGTTTAGCCCATTGGGTACCTGCACATTTGACATAATAATTAACTTCACATTTTCGGTATGCTTGTAATATCGTATGATATATTGATATAATGTACCAAACTGAACTTGAGCAAGGCACACATGTCGTCAGGCATTGCCAAGTGACTGGTTCTAGAAATATGAGCCTTGGGCTGCACAAAAGAAGTGACAGGTTGAGTGATGTGGGCCATTTAGTCCTTGCCTATGCCAACTGTCAAGTTTATTGTTTTATTTATTATAATTATTTAAAAATGCCATCAATTTAGTTTTACCTCTTCATTATTCAACTCCGCACATTTTATTTGGTTAAGTTGTACTGATTTTTGATTCTTAATGCAGAGAGATTAGACCAAGATACTGGTGGCATACTTACAACAATTTGCAATCATACTTTTCACTGTTCATGCATATCAAAATGGACAGATTCTTCTTGTCCGGTGAGTGACATCATTTGCTTATGTAGTATTTGAACTTCTAAATTCATTTTAACAAAATAGCTAGTTAATGCTGTTTGTTCCTCTCTATCGATATGTTGCATCATCGAGAAAGGTCTTTGTGGAACTTGTCAACATGTCCTATGATATGCACTTTTGTACCAATGGTTGGAATTTTTTTGATGAAAATCTTATGATTGTTCATTTTTCAATCCTTTATCAGTGATGTTGTAGGAAATATATTTTTAACATCATGAAGGTTGTGCCTCGCTCTATATTAACATCTCTAGTTGTTGTTGTCTTGAAGTCCCTTATTTTCCTTATTAAAGCATGAAATTGTTCTATTATCCAACTTTGATTTTGTATTATGCACGTATCATTTGTGTGACACCATGATTAGTCGCACATTAGGTATGGGAAGGCTTTATGATTGCACGTGTAACATGTGGTCATATAGGTCAACAACTAATAGCTCAGACTTGAGCACGTTCGTCATCTGATCTATCGAATTATTGGGTGAACTAGGGATAGTTGGCATCAAAGTTAACCCAATAACACTTATGTGATGAGTTGACCCAACTAAGGATGCAAAAGGCACAATCACACATGAAGCTATCACTGAGCCATTGATCTCATATGCTCCTACAAAGTAATGATGTTGGGTCATGTGCAGGGTTCTAATGAGGACGTCAAGCTTTCGAAGAGGGAGGAGAGATTGATGGGGCTTTATGATGATACATAAGGCTAGATGGACCAACCACTAGTAGTTCAATCTTAAGCATTTTAACCATAAAGTTTGTTGCATGGTCCACCAAGTTACTAGATGAGTGGGTGTATCGAGTATGGTCAGTTTCTAACAATTTGACTTCATCTATTGGTCATATAATATTAAATATAGTACACATATAATTCGGGTTTGTTGTACTGAGGTGTATTGCCTGGTATGGGCGATATGTACCGGTTTAATAGGGGATCAGTATGCAGATTGCTCTATGTTGGACGATACACGTTACATGATCTCGTATCAAGCAATACGGGGTTTGTATTGGTCAATAATAGTCAGATTTTGAAATGGTCAATTTGACTATTTGAATCGTAGGAAATGGTTTTTAAATCCTTTTCTCCCCCCGCTTTCAACTCATTTCATTTAAACTCTTCCTCATTCATCTCTTTCTCATTTTTACATTTTCACTCTTTCAAACTCAACAAAGTTGTGATTTGTAGATTGGATCAAATTTGGAGGCTAGTTTAAGAGGATTAAAAGGAAGAATACTCTAATCAAGAGGAACTAGAGACACCCAATCGTCATAGTCGTCCACCCAGTGTGCAAAGGCAAAGACAAAGGGGAAGACAGTAGCATTAGTCGCACCATTGGAAAGAATTGAGTTGAGCGACGGGACACGTTCTTAATCGCATTCAACAATCCACTCGGTCTAGAGACATGGCAGCGATGTGGATAGTAGTGCCTCGATTGATGATTGGCGGTGACGTCAAAGAGTCGATAGTCTCGTCTACACACTTTGAGCTTGGTGCAGGGACCAAGGAGTAGTATTTTATATACGCTACTCAAGATTCAGATTACAAAGCTCAACGAGGTACTAGTCAAGTCTATACATGAAAAGAGAAGAGGAAGGCAGTGAATGATTTTGAACAAATGCGATGGAGCTTACACAACGTAGACATAGAGCGAAACTCATCATATTTACAAGCGTCATATTGTAGAGAATCTTACAGCCAAAAACAGTACGGTGATGATTAGTCTTTTTTTTTCCGAGCAATAGTACGATGATCGATTTTATGACACAGAGCAGTAGATCGGTGGCAAAAGTAGAAGTTCTAACATTCTCTATGGTTTGCACCAATACATGCCATAGTTGTCCTTGACTCAAGAGCTACCTCGACATATGTGATTCAGGGCAATCAGACTACAACCATCACCACATTGATGCACCAATAGCATATGGTGCATCAATATATTATGTCATGGGATCAATTTCAGGATTGAGTCCGACAAACATATCAAATTGATATACAGATATATAGGATTGAGGACCCCGATCCACCACCCTATGGGGTCTTATCTTTTTTTTGTGGTAGAACCAGGTATATTTATCGATTGATTACTTGATTCATTTGAATCTTAAAGTTTAAGTTGTTTAAGAAATAATATGATAATTCAGATCATTTCTTTGTAAATAATTCAATATTAACGGAAAGATGATCTGGAATGTACCACAAAACTTCTCAAAGTTCGAAAAAGATATGTCATTATTTTTTCCTAATTTAGTTTATTTTTACTAAAATTATACTAAATTTATATTTTATTTCTAATTTAAAAACCCTAATCTAATTTTATTTTTAATTTTTTAAAAAGTTTTGGAGCTATTTTTGGTAATTTTTTCTACCATCAGTACGCCTCATTGTATTGACATGTGGTACATTGTTATGTACGATAGCAATGGCCAATCGATACACTGATATGGACCTGGAAGACGAACCTTGGTTATAATTATTGTGACATTGTAGGCTATCTATTGATTTAATAATGTGGCTAATAGAGTCCAGAAGGGTCAAGCAAATATGATTGAACATGTCTGTTAGGAAGGAAATTTAAACAACGTAAATCTGAGATGTAATTAACAAGATATTTTTCATCCTTCCCAAAATTTAAAAATGTCTTAAATAGAGTTTTTCCTTATTTGATTTAATTTATTTTTATGTGAATCAAAACAAGGAGATAGTTGAAATCTTCCTCCATCTTGGGTGGATATGAATCAGGTTATAAAATTAATTTTAAAATAATTTATTATGAAATTATTTTTTATATTATCTTTTTGAGAACTCTTCCTCATCTCCTGTTTAATGATGACAACTCTTCCTCTTTCCTTGCTGATTGCCTCTCTCCGAGAGAGAATGAGGAAGAGATTGTCTTGTTAAAGGGAGAGGTAGGTCCTCTGACCCTTTTTTGATCTAAAATTTTTAGTTATTATTATTTTTGAAAATTTAGATGCATGGAGTTACATTGTTTATTTAAGTATTTAATAATAAATTTTATATCCTGCCTAACATGTCTGCTTAACATGGAAGTAGATTTCAACCATTTACTTATTTTGGATTACAAACTAGGAAATGAATTAAATTAAATAAGATAAAATTTCATGGTCTAATGTTTTTCTAAACTATGGTAACTAAAGTGTCACAATGGAACATTCTTAATAATCCTGGGTCGATTTGCACAATACACAACAAAAATTTCCCTACTTGCTTGGTCTGATCTGAAAGTTTCCATTCTAGTGGTGGGAACGGCTCATACATGGAATGACATTCCTGCTTCAAATCTTAGGGCATAGACTTTTTCATTTGATCAGTTCATCTGTCAAATGCCAAAGTCTGTTTTTTTAAATGTTTAAATTTGATTGCCTATTTGATAACAGATATATATATATACATATATATATACATATATATACATATATATATATACATACATATATATATATATATATATATATATACATACATATATATATATATATGTATATATATATATATATATATGAGATTTTCTCTCTGATATAACTGCTGTGCCGAAATGTCTTGTTATTGTGGCTTACTCATGTGTTGAATAGGTTTGCAGATATTGCCAGCAACAACCTGAAAAATCAACATGTTCTGTTTGTGGGACTTCTGAAAATGTTTGGATATGCCTTATATGTGGTTTTGTTGGCTGTGGAAGGTAGATTTTTATGCCATATGGTGCAATAATGGAATGATAAAGGAAATCTAATTGTATCTTGTGCTGTATTTTACCGATTTTGCAGTTACAAGGAGGGTCATGCTATCAATCATTGGAAAGAAACACAACACTGCTATTCACTTGAATTGGAAACTCAGCGTGTATGGGATTATATTGGGGACAACTATGTGCATCGGCTAATTCAATCAAAAACTGATGGGAAGTTGGTTGAGTTGAATTTTCACTGTGCTTATGCTGATGATAAGCATGGAAGTTGTGAATGTAGTGAGGAATCTGGTTTTAATGAGGCTCTTCTGAACAGTAAACTCGAAGCTGTAACGTATTAGTTTCATGTCACATTTTAGGAACTGCAATATTCCACTTCCACTCAATTTATAGTATTCACTTTTTTTGTCTCTTCAGATTATTGAAGAGTACAATGACCTACTCACATCTCAACTAGATAATCAAAGAAAAGTATGTGCCTTTTCTCTCTTAGGTCACCTTGTTTATCCATGTCTTACTTGCTTCCATCAAGTATTTAGATCTGGTTTATAAATGAACTGTAACATGTCATTAACAAGCTACTATGTACCAGCTGACATGCATGATAAATGCTATTGTTTGCTCATCTGCTTAGTGATAATGATGCTTGTTTCTGGAACTATAGCATTATGAATCCGTGCTGCTGGAGATCAAGGAAGAGACAGAGGAGAAAATATCTGAGTCTGTTGAAAAGGCTATTGGTTTGAAACTTCACAAGTTACAAATGAAGCTTGACAAATGCATTGAAGAGAAAAGGTTTTTTGAAGATGTAAGTTACTGCATCATTATGTTATGGAAAATGTATATAGTTTTAGTGAGCATGTAAATTGTGCCTAGTTTACGGTAGTCTTCACTGTTAATGACTGCAGGCTATTTCTCTGCTTTTTGTAGATTAATGAAAACCTTATGAAAAATCAAGAGATGTGGAAAGCAAAGCTTCAGCAATTGGAAGAAAGGTAATGAATAATTGTCCTCAAAGTTTTCATGTTTATTCTTTTATGTACAAGGCGAACATTTCTAGTTAGCACTAAAGTACATACTTTCATAGCTAAAAATTCAAATATTTCCTTGAGACAATTTGTTTTGACAAAGTATCAAGATATTTAAAAATGATGAATATATATATATATATATATATATATATATATATAGTTTTTTGGGAGGGAACGTTGGATATACATCTGAAGCACAGAAAAGAGAACAAGTGAAATAAGGGGGATGATTTTATTTTATGTCATCATAACCCTTATTGTTTGAACAACTAACTTTTGTGTGTGATGACATTTATGTGTTGGTTTGTTGTTCTGTGTTAACCTGATTGCATAACCATGGTGCTACTTTTCATTCATGATGCTTGCATTTATGTATTACACATTTTTCAGGGAGCAAGCTGCAATGAATCTGAGAGATGAGAAAATACAAGGCTTGGAGGAACAGGTGGGTTCTGCATTATGTAATCCACTGACCTGTTGTCTTATGGCTTCTAGTTTCAAATTTTATCTTTAATATTTTAGACACTTCCAGATCTCACACTAGGGCCACTTCTTAAACAAGTCTAATGTCTGTCATTATGAACTACTGGGACGTAGCAAGGATCAACCTAACAGTGTAAACATCTGCATCTAGACAGACCTAGATTCTTATGTTGGATGTATGTGCATAATTTTTTATTCAGCCTAAGGGTAGTAAATTAGGAAAGAATGAGAATAACCTATATGGTTTTTAGTGCTCCATTGTCAGACCTTAGATAATGTGGGATCCATGTTAAGTTTAGCCTTAACATAGTCATAATAGGTTTAATAACATAGTAATTAAACCGCAGCGATTTCCAAGAGTCAGGGATGCTAGTTCTGTATTGTGAGATCAGCAAATTGGCTTTGTCAACGGCATCCCACTCCATTTATCTGAAGAGTCAAATGATATGGGAGTACTTCAGATCTTTTGACCAAACAATCATTCCGCCTTTCATATTTCCTATTCTCTCTCCCTTGCTGCTGTTGCTGGCTCACTAGTCATTGTAGGAAGAAGAGAAGGTGCAAGCAGTGATAGTGGCCGTGAAGAGAAATAAGGGGAGGTGATGGTGGTCATGATGCTACTAGTTCACTAAAGGTGAATGAAAATAGATGACAAGGAAATGGGTGGTAAAAAAAGGGTACCCAGGAGCAATTGTTCAGGATCAAATTGAAAGAGAATCTGTTGAGGAAAAAGCAACGAGAGGGAGGCGGCCAGAGGGCAAGAGATGATGAAGTGTGGCGATCGGTTGGAAGGAGTGAGAGGGTAAAATCAGGTGGAACTTGGGTATCTGATCTTTTTATTTATTAACATAAATTTTTTGTTTGATGGATATTTTGGGTCCAAACTGTGAAGTACATAAAACGTGGGTGCATATAATTATTTTACATGTTGTCATTATCAAAGTTGATATGGTGTTGTCAGAAGGGTCATATGATGATTATTGTTTCTTCTGTTTGTACTACTAGTTTATTTGACATATATATATAATGATCTTATTGGACATGTAATGATCATTCATTATTTCTGTCGGGCAGCTGGGATATCTAATAAGGCACATAGAGACTCAGAAGGTGATAGATGAGCCTCCAGATGGCTCTGTTGCAAGTGAGATAAAAGGTGGGACTATAATTCCTGTCCAGTCTGCATCCTCTTCTAGCGGCAGCAACAAACAAGGAAGAAGGAATCGAAGAAGGAACTAACAGTATTGTTGACAAAGACGAGAAGGTAATCTGACATCATCATACACATCCCAACCAGTTTTTTTTTTTTTTGAAATGATTAGGAGCAATACCAAACTAACTTTTGTTGTACATTGGATGAGGCAAATTGAAGACTATAGAAGCCTAAGAACCATTAATGTCAATATATGTAAATAGGAAAATCAAGCTATTTTCTATACTATAGTAGCTTTGGAGAAGGTTGTATTGATAAGAGCCATCCAGCAAATCAGAAGGTTGTATCACGTAGTATATATGAAGTTTGTCTTGGCTTGCATTGGATCCAGTAAAAAACTATGTTCTTTTGGTCCTAGGCCTAGTCGGCATGGTACTAATAATGTAGGAGTTGATGGTCATTGCACTTCGTTCCTCATAAGACAGCGGTTCCCCGCTGGGTTCACCACTCACGTGAGAAGTAACTGTCTGTTCCCTGCATTGCCCGAAGCAGGTGATTTGCCCCATCTCCGTTTATTTAGTTCTCGCCACGTTTAGGTCGTTAAGGTAATTAATGTAGGAGGAGGATCGAGGCGGCGGCGTCGAGGAGGATCGGCCCTCGCGTCTGATTCAGTCCGCTACGGTCCAAGTTACAGGACTTCGGGAGATCGACAGGAGATTTCGGGGCCGGGTGGATCGTGTCATTTTGACGATTTTGGGTATGACCACTTAGTTATATTAACATGGAATACCGAGGTTCATTTATTTAAATATTATTAGATTTAGTAATAAAAATATAAAAATAATTTTAATATTTGAATTGATGATAGTGGATAAGTGGCAGATGATGATATCATTGGGAGCTATGAGTGTTTGTCGTAGATGAGAAGATCGAGTGGTAAGAATTGTTCGACATCTATATCGATGATCTTTTCATTATTTATAGGATATTGTCATTATTCTTTCTTCTTATTTACAACAGTCACTCGTCACGTTACCATAGCAATCAATATCATCCGTCGTTAAAAAAATAAAAATTCTTATTTATTTTCATATTTTTATTGATAAAATCAATAACTATAGTATAATAGATCTAGATGTTAGATCGCAACTTTGACAAGGTGCCGTTAGAGACCACAGCAATCGAAAGGTAACGGACATGGTCGGTTCTCCGTCAACGAAAGCGTGCTTCTCTCCTGCCTGCAGAGTGTAGGTCGTTCTCACTGTGAATGCTGCAGATGGTTCTATTCTAATTTCATATCCTTTTTAATGCATGTTGTACACATATATATGACGTGAAATTTCGAAATGATATCTGAGTACAGAAATAACTAGAGAAGGAGAAGTCAGAAATTGAATTGAACTTTTCTTAGTTTGTAATGTCCTAAAATTTTCGATCAGAACAAAATAGATCGTATGCAAAAACAGTAGGCCCACAGGAATGACCTAAAAATTGTTCATGTCAGCATCATTAAAAGTCACTTCAGTACCTCTGAGGATGTTCAAATATTTTTGTGCTTTTAACATTTTAGCTAATTCTTCTCTTTTATTATTACATTCTAAATTTTATTTTTGTTTTTGTATGATTATTCTTTAATTTGAATTTGTGTCGTGATTTCGTTACATCAAGATCTTCTGTTTCTTCCAGAGAATATAATTGGCTAAATTATAAAATGGAAGGACTATGGGCAATGTTATAATTATTATTATTTCTGAATCTTGATTGATGGAGCTCTCGGGTACAGTGCAATCTTCTTTAAGAGAAACAAAGAGCAAAAACACAACACCTTTATGAAATTGATTCATGTGTAAACCAATTGAATCATGCAAGATCCCTAGTTGCATCAATACATCACACATTGCTACTGCATCCACAAAGATGTCAAATATTAGCGGTACATTTTATTGCGCTGTACACCCACATCATTTTCTTCTTCCATGGAATTCATGTACACGTAAACTGAAACCTCAATCCGCCAATTGGTGAGTGAATGGAATGAAGATGAGAAGACGCTTGGCACATTCTCTATCTTGGTACTGTAGTCTGCAACTGCACGTTTCGCGTGCTATGATTTAGCTTCCCTTGTAGATGACGATACTATGTCTTGATCGAGTAGTGTTAATGAGGTGTCCAACACTGTCGTCGTCTTCACCTGTATCACTCGGTTTTAAGTTCTAAGTAGAACGAAGAGGTTGGTAAGAAGGAAAGAAAGGCTTTCGAGCAGCGGTGTATCGCAAACCTTTTACGCTTGGTTTTGAGCGAACTGGACGACGATGCATTACTGTGCCAGTTCCTCTTCCTCTGGTTGATGAACCAGTTATTGATCTGCTTTAGCTGTAACCCTGTTTCCTGCACCAGTCGTGCTTTGTCGTCCTCCTGTGACGAGGTTGCACAAGGTATAGGAAGATCAGATCGAATGAGATGATGCAGGGGGACGACGGATAAGCGGAACGTACCGTCGGATACGGCCACTTGGAGTGGGACTGCCACCAAGCTTTGAGCATGGAAGTGCTGTCCCCGGGAAGTTTCCCTGCTCTTCGTTTGCGAAGGATCTCTTCTCTGATGTCCACGATCTTCTCTTTGTACCCCTGAAAAGCCCAAATGTAAGCTTTTGGAGACTCTCTTCCTTGATCTATCATCATCCCTCGAGACCAGAGATTTTGACACCAACCTGCTTGAGCTCATGCTTCAGCTCCTGGCGAACGCGTTCCATCAGGGATCGCTCGCTCTCTGTGGGAATTAGCGGCCCAAATCCCATGCTGTCCGTTCCATCAAAGCCTCCGTCGAACAGGTTTGTTTCGCTGTCTGCCTGATCATCTTCATCATCATCCGACATAGTTGCACCTGTGCCTTCACCAGGAGACACACCTGTTTGCAGCAACCCATGCTCTTCAACAAAAGGCATTTACAGTGAAAATTGCATGCAACACATGGCTTACACTTCCATAACTTAGCTTCATGTCAAATATGACCCACATCAGATTTTAGTATTTTGGCACCAAACCCATCAAAAGCCATGCTAAGGATTGGAAGTGTTCAACACTATTTCTATTGTTTTCACTGTTAAAACCCCAAGGCCTAAGCTGGCATAGCAAGAATGTTATGTTTTACAGTGAATTTGGCTATCTCCATCCAAATTCTATATGGCACCAAAACCTGAATTTGTTTTAGATCAGGAATTAGTCCACTGGTGATTATGGGCTCAAGCTGTCTTTATATTCATCTTTTATCATATTAACATTAAAGTGTGATACTTTGCAAAGATAGGATTTATATTTAAGGAACCTAAGTTAACAAGCAACCACAGTACCAGCACTAATAGTAGACACTTTCTGTTTGAAGTTCATGTCAGATGTATGCTTAGAATTAACACGAGTCATTATATTTGTCAGAAGGTTGAAAGCCTCTACAGCAGTATTGTGAATATATGAATATAGATTGCAAATGATTCTAATTTGTAAAAAATCGAAATATATCAAGATATGATATCAGTACCTGTTGACTGCAAGATAAAATTTTTCATGTGTATAAAGTTTCAAGGATGACTGCAGGATGATATGTCAGCAAGTTTGATTTGTCTATAAAATATAACTAATAATAACTACAAACTTTATGTTAAGCACATTTATTATTATTATTAGAAGAAGAAAGGATATGGAGGTAACCAACCTGTTAGGCTTTGAAGTGACTGCTCAAGCTCCCAACAAGCCATCACTGCCTCCATTGCATGAACACGGACATGCTGCTGCAGTTGTTCTTTGAAGGAACAAAGTAGCAAGACATAATGTGTCTGACCAATGCATGAGATGCTTCGCATATTAGAAATTTGAAGTCAAGCAACAATAGCAGCAGCGTGTGAATCATCAGAAGAGCTCAGATGAAGCAAATTTGAGGAATATGTGTGGTTTATTCGACTAAATATCTGGAAATAAGTGAATGTACATTCTACTGTACAAGGGAAATTTATGAAGTGATTACTGTAAAGAAAGATTAATGTGCAGGAATATCAAATGTCATTTTAGAAAATCAATTATGCAATGCAATTTTGTAAGTGCATCATTCATTGGTTTTTCATGAAGATCTTATCTAAATATGCAATTTTTTTAGTATCCTCATGTCATATAGCACAGGCTCAACCTTCAGCTCCTGATCCAAGTAGCACGCTGTCAAGCATTTAAGCAAACAAGAAAGGTGATTTCAAGTGGATGTCAGACAAAGGAGCGGAGACGAGAAGCGGGAGGGGTGCAGCAAGGTGCACGGTAGAACATGTGCCTGCCTTGAGCTTTTTCTCTATCTCAAGCTCATGAAGAAGAGACATATCTCTTCTGGAGACTTGGTAAGCAGACTGCTATCAGATTCCCTAAACACAGCTAAGCAAATCTCAATCTCAAGCAAGCCTCTCCACAGTACAGATATTGTGGGGTCGAACACAGATGGAAACATCTGTCTTCCGATCTGCAAGTATAACCAAGTTGAAAGGTTTTGTTCTCGGTGGACGACAAATGTCTTGTCTCTCTATCCAACCATGAAGAACAGCGTATGTTCCAAAGAGGAAGCAATGAAACACATAAATCATGAGTCAGAGATTCGAGAGAACGCATCGAGAAGAAGGGTTCTTGAATCGCCAAAAAAAGACAGAATTGGAAGAGATAGGGGAAGGAAAAGGGAGCTTCTTTTTTCTTTGCCTTACCATGAACTGATCGAGCTCCTTGTCGTCGCCCAGCAGCTGGCCGCTGTTGCCGAGCACCGAGTACTTGGACACGACTTGCTGCGACTGCGCGAGCTGCGCGTCGATCCTCGGCAGCTGGTCCACCGGCGTCGCGATCCTCAGGCACGCCACGTGCGCCGCCAGCAGCTGCTCGTACAAGGGATGCGCCAGTATCTCCGCCTTGTACCTCGCGTTCTGCCACGTCCCCTCCCCGCCGGTGCCGCCTCCCTGCGCCACCGCCTCCGCCTCGCCGAGCTCCCCACCCGGGTGGCCCCGCTCGCCGCCCCCTCCTCCGTCCGCCGAGATCGCCGCGGCCATGACGGACTGGCTCGACACGGGGACCTCCACGTCGCTCCCGCTGCTCTGCAGGATCGGCGTCCGGGAGAACCAGTGCCCCGTCGCCGCTCGTCCTCCTCCTCCCCCGGCCGCGACCGGCGACGCAGACGAGTCGGAAGTGGTCTGGAGGTGGAGGAAGCTGCCGTCGGCGTAGTGATGCGCCTGCTGCCGCAGAATTGCGCTGTTGAGCCACGTGGGCCCTCCCCCGCCGGGCATCGGCGGTTTCCCAGACGCCGCGGCGTCGGCCATGAGTCGCCTGAGGTCCTTCCCGTCCTTCGCCCCGTCGGCGTCGGGCGCGGCACCAGAGGGTCCAGT